AAGAGGGCCTCACATTGTAAAATTGAAGGAAACTAGTATGGTTCTTCTATTCGTAGTCACACTTGCAGGGTAGACCTTCTTATTCGCATCCTGTTTGCTTGAGCAATCTCTTAAAGTTGTTCTGTCTGGTACAACTCAATTTCGGCTCACAAAAAGAATCCGAAGTGAAGCATGCTGTGCGGGGACTCGAAATCTCCGTCATTGGTACAGGAGGCGAGAGTACCTTCACCAATCTAAAAATCCAAGTAGGACCTTCGTATCTCCACAAACGAAAACTTTTGACCATTGAGAATTAAGTTTAGTTTGATCTGTTTCGTGACCGAGAACATAGCAACAGTCCTGATTTTGTCGATTTTTCGACTCTGCCTCTCAGGACTTTGGGGCATGTACCGTCACAGACCTTTAAAATCGACGGATTTTTTTTCAGTTACTCATGAATAGTTTTAAGAGTTGATTTAACATGACAATTACAAGGGCACCTATGTGGATAGTTTTTTAATCTGGTCCACCGTACTGTGTTGCTGTGTTTGAATCTTTTATGTGGTACTAATGAGTAATTTGACAATTCGGGAAACTCACGGCTGTTTCAGAATAACCTAGATGCTTTCATGAGAGCAGAATAATGTATAAATTAACTAATGAGGATTACTTCGACGAACTTCAGCCTATGTAATCGGTTGTTTCATATTATGACCAGCAGTGGAGAGCAAATTTCAACTGTGTCGATCAGATGACTGGATGATGTACCTTTCAGCTCGTTGAGAAATAACTGACGGTTGCATAGCCTGGTATAGAGTTGTTTTGACAGATGCTCCATTGCTTCTGTGTTTAGTTCCCAGTCATTTCTACTAATGAATTTTTCCAGACGAATGAGCAAACGTAGTGACTGACAGATAAGACTGATGGTTGATTAGTGCCGTTGGAACAGTCTTTGTGCAAGTCTTAGCATTTGGCCATGTCTGGCGAACGGTAACATTTAAAAACCATTTAAGTCGGCTGAAATCACGGCAACCAGTGTACGGAAACGCCAAGTAATATGGCTTACTTGCCACTTTCATTTACGCTCTGAGGTGTCTTTCGAGTTAACCGTCAGCACAGTGAACTTTCAGACAGTTCATTCTTGTCAGAGTACCTATCTAGAGTCGAAATCAATTTTGTCCTATGGACTAAAGTGAGGACCAAACCACCTTAGTGTTGCACATACAGGATGCTGTGAATCTGAGGTGCTGTGCAGCGATAGAACCATCAAAGCTCCTAACAATAAAAAATTTCAAAGGGATGCAAAAGTCCGTTTGAATAGCGTGCTCCTCCATCATGTTAATCCCCTTCTTTGCTCTTGTTGCGGATTGCATCCCATAAGGCAAATTATCCTACTACTACAGAGAAGCGCCATATGACTGTTTCATCCTGATTCAATAATCCGGTGAAACTTTAAGAGGCGAGTTTTAACAATATCATTCAACCGTAAGTGGCTGAAATTTACTTTGGCGTAAAGCTAGTTATCCTCAGTCATGCAATTCAAGTCGTGTGACCTCGCTACTTAAGTGGTGGCACCACAAGGGAAGTGAATAGAAGTGAGTAGAACACACATTGAACAGTAAGGGCCCAAACAGCAAACGATATTGAGCTTTGGGCCTTGGGAAGGTTCCTTCGTTCTCCCTTTAGTGTTTGATTACAACCACCTTCCCCCTTCGAGCGAACCATCGGAAAGGTCAGTTTCGGCTAATCCTCGAAAATTCAAATGAATTCTATAATTTCAGAAAGTACCATAGTATTTTTTTGTGTGGTTCACTTTGCATGTATGTAGGGACGGAATGCTGCTTGCCCTCGTCATAGAGATGTAATTAGTTTTTTTAAGTGAATGTTAGAAAAGGTAACTTTGTAGAACCCATAGAGTGCGCAATTTCTTTTTTCGCAAATACTGCATGGACTACCTAGACATGGTGTTGTTACAGAACAGAACAACTGCTGTTAGTACAAACCATCACCCTTTCAGGTTTTAGTGCGTTCGGAAGTTCAACGCTGCGCAGCATAAGATTCTCTGATTGTAGAAGTTCATCTGCCCTGAAGGGAGTTATAGGCAGAACATCTAAAATGTTCCCTATTAAAGTTCTACGACAATTTCCTGCCGCAGTTTTCTGTGAATCTGTGATAAATTCAACTTTGAACCTAATTCGAGTTTTAGTGAAGTCCGTCGCACGGTTGGTGTGTGGTGTGAAGCAGCCTCACTACTATACCAAATAAAACCTAACTTGTCCTTTCGGGAGAGTGTACGGAAGGTACCACACCGACGTCTGAATAAATAAGGCCTGCTCACCCAAATTGACCTTTGCTCGGACTCGCCCTCCGCCCAATCGCCTCATCCATTTGAAATACTGCGAAGGGTAGCGTATCGACCAACTTGAAGGCTGTTCCCGATTTTGATCAGCTGCAAATCATAAGTGCAACGAATTCAGTTATGTTACGCGCGCTCATCTTGAAGCTGGAATTACCGCGGCGTTACTTTCAGGCGCTCTGTATTCGCACAATTGGATTGAGCTTTTGAAAGCTATGACGTGTTGTTGATGGACTAAAACAGACAACTGAGTTCAGAACACCAGTCCAAATTTTTAAGCCCTATCTGGGCATCTCGGAGTCACAGTGCTGCTAGGCAAGTATTCCACCATAATTTTTCCGCCAGAGGTATGACTGCTTGAATGGACAATGAAACTTGTTGAGTCGCGAAAATACGAACATAGATTAGGGTGGATTTCGGGTCGAGCATATACGCAACAAAATGCAACATTTCGGTGTGAAAAGCTTTATCCCACTTGCGAGGATTTTTCAGCTAAGAGCATTGTGCGGCCAAGGATCCCCTTATTTTTATACGATATTGCTTGTAAGGTTAAAGAAGACTTCCAAATAATTCATCAAAGATTTCAACCTTCTTGAACCTCATCCGGTAGATTGATTTCTCGAGTTTTCATCAGTTCTATTCAGAACGCGTCCAGACATTCAAAAAGTACATGTCCAGAGAACGACGCATCCCCAAGGTCACCATCGGTCCCGTTCCGGATAGCAGGTGCGTTGGAGGACCTTACCAAACACGGCTTAGCAGCAGGCGATCAGCGCAGTGGGTGTGGAGTTGTTCACGTCAGGAATGTCGCCACTGGCTGTACAGAACGAACAAGTGAACGACCATATTTGGTATTTTAGTCATCATATGTAATTAAGCAGAAGCCCTGTATGCTTGTCCTGACAGTACAGCCATGTCCGGGGTTCTCTGTCTTCTTCCTATCGCGTGATCTGACAGGCTCAGTGTAGGCGTAACCGATCGACAGCCACCCACGATGCAACAAACATCAAAGTGGGCGTATGTGCAGGTGAACGCTCTGTTGCAAATTAACTTGGAATTTACGAGAGACGCAAGTGCGCCTCAGTTGAATCCCCCATTTACACTACTCAAGAAAGTCATCTTGAATATCCTTCTAACTAAACTACAATGTGGCCTTTGTAGGCATTTGGAGAATACCTTAAACGGAAGAAATAGCTGAGATTCAGCTACATCTCGCAGCTTAGTTAGCAGATCTGGAACACTTATTTATTAACCAAAGTTTACCTTTAGATGGAATTATCCCGGAAATCCTATCCTGTACCTGAGGCAAATCTCATGTACTCACGATCCACCCTTTATTTTAGGCACTGAACTGCGGAAATCATACCCTAATGTAAAAGAGAATGTTGGTAGCTCAGACAGCATAGATGATCGTTGGTTTGTTCGCTGAGCACAACCGCCAACCCATCGCTACGCAGAACCACGCTCCCTAATAACGCTCGCTAACAACGCATTGATGATGTCACCTCGATTGGTGATGAAACGTTTGCAATCGAATTGCTCAGCTCAGCGAACAAACCAACGACCATTACCCTAATATAGCTGACTGTGGTACATTTTGAAGCTTTGGGAGGAAGACTGCTCAATTTCTGCCAAAGTGGATGTCGATACTTATAAACACATCGGTCACGCCAGATTATGACGTTTGTACTGTTTCTCTCAATCCCACCACTAACTTCCTCGTCATGTCCCACTTCTGACCCTGTGTAAATGAAGCTACATGGAGCAATGTGATAGAATGAAGGAACCGCACTTGGTAACCTCAGGTCTTCGTCACGCTTTCGACGTTCATACAGTTTGGCGTACTCGAAACTCACATGACCTTGAACATAAATTAGCGAATGATCAATCATTACCACGTTCCTATCCAGAAATTTAGCGCACTATTGACCGGGAACAGCATCGACGAAATTTACGTGCGTTTGTTGGCAACCCGGATTACGACAACTTATTGGGACAGATAATAAACCCATCCAAAACACGGAGTCACTGGCGTTAGAAGGCCAAAACAGGCCATCAGAAAAACGGTTAAGCAAAGTATATGTCCACATACTGTTTTAAATCTCGTTTGAACAAGAAATATGGCTTCATGTGCAATGTGCGATGGGTCGGCCCGTGCTATGGATCGGATACGGATGTACTGTTCATTCAATGGCTTTGGACAAGACGAATCATTTGAATTCCTGTAGTTCTTATGGCTTATCTGACGATGGCGAAGTAAACAGATATCATTGAAGTCCTACCCTTGACATTTGTACGGAACAACAGCTGGAGCTAACCGCTTCTCCATAATACGCTTCTGTAAGACACAAAAGCTATTGGATACACACTGAGATACGACGCTCACTTAATGGGTGGGATAGACCTGTGATAAGCCTCAACTCATCTTACGAGCACGCGTTCTGAACATGGGATGAACCTACCTTCACAATTTCAAGTAGAATTTAAATTGGCTGCAATAATGGAGATGAGAATTGCAGAGTGAATTGTTATATAATTTGATAACGCGGTAGCACATTGGGGAACTGAACTGTATGGGGGAATTGTTATATACACGCGGGCTGCTAAAGTCACGGCAGGTACTGTTACTGTGCAAAAAAAATAAAGGATAGAAATGGGATTTTTGTCATTGGTGTTCTTCACTGGTTGAATGCTGTTCGTGCTCATGGGCTGGACTTGCAACGGATAACTCATAAGATGGGGGAGGATAAGGCGGGTGTGCGGTTGAGTCATCTTCATATGCTTGATTGGACATTCCTTCCGTCGTTTGAGGTGTAGATGGTCCTGTACAGGCATCTGTTTGTTGCTGGTACTGCCGCTGCTGTTGTGTTTGATGGTCTTCCACTTGCTGCATTCGTTGGGCTGAGGAAACATCCGGGGTGATCACTGGAGCGGCGACCGTGAAGGGTGGTGGTGGTGATAGTGAGCTACACTCGTCGTAACTCGGTAGGCGTGGGAATCCGAACGGCAGCGGAACGGATCCCGGAAACGAAGTTCCTATGTGTGCAAATGGGAGAAGGTAAGCCGTTTGAGTTTGAAGCTAGGTGAGCGAACATTGTCTTCCCCATGACATGCTATTACTGTGGAGGCTTTTGTTAAGAAGCGACAAACTAAACTTACCGTCCATCCCGGCTCTTACACGGTTTGTTTCGTTTCTGGATGGAGTCACTTGACATCGACGTTGACGTGAGCAATAATGATCCGCCCATTTGCTCACCGAGTCCCAGTGTGAACACGTGGCCAATACCAAACAGATGACAAGGGAACCCACCAGAAGAACGACGACTCCAATTACACTGATTGATGTGGGTTGAAAAGTTGAAGGAGAAGTGAAACGTGGGAGGTAGAATGACAAGTCCTTTTGATCTATCCAGCAGATGCGCCTGGTTTTTACGTGCGCGGTTAATTAAGCTCAGATTGTACAGTAACTCTCTCAAAAAGAAATTTTGACTCCACCCGGTATGGATAAGTGATTTAAAGTCCCACAGATGTTTACAAGAGTAAACCTTACCCTTCTTGAATACCCCCTGAATGGAGGCCATCACGGAAATAGGGATTTCAGTCCCTCATGACATACTTGAGGATCACGTGAAATGATCAATGACCTTTTTTCACCAGCACTACCTTCGAAGACTACATGTACGACGCAGGAGACACGTTAATCCGTATGACCATAAACAGAGTTGCCACATCTCAAGTAGCCAAAGAGGGACACTCACAGTCAGGTAGTACTGTGCAAGTTTCGCAGTAAAACTAGCCCCCCCCCCCCTGAGAGACGAAATGTGTACACTTCAATGAAAAGTACTTGTGTCGATCAAAACGCCAAAAGACACCTATCAATCCATGAAGTCGCTCTCGAAAGAACCAGTCAGCTATATGGCTAGGCCTGTTACACACATGCGACAGAGAGTCATGAATGACATATCTATTTCTGAACCTGCCTTAGTCAGCTCATTGTGATGAGACTTGCTGCGAACGAGCAAACTGGTGCCTCTCACCAAGGACAAATGACCAGCTCCCAAAAATGAAAGGAATAAACTAGCAACAGAAGACGGTCCATCTCGATATCATCGACGGTAGGGTATAAGATGAAAACGAGTCAAACGGGCTGCACATGCAGTTCTGGTTACTAGTTCATTGAGACCAGTTTGATGGATAATATATAGCCAGGATGTATTAATAATAAACTTACGTCTACATTTTAACTGATTTTATCCACCAATTTATGCAAGTCTGCTTGAGCTCGATACGGTCTGTGGGAACATACTATCATTTCCATCGAAGTTTTTTTCTTCAGGGGCAACTGTGGTACAAGTAGGCAAGCGTTTCAGTAGAGTTGTTGAAATCAGAGTCTCAACCTAAGCAAGTACTCATGCTCCGGCAACTTTGGACACCAAGCCGCTTCAGTATGTATAGGGCAGAAAAATGTCAGCAAACTTTGAGTAGGGTCAAAACTGGAATTTAAGAGCTGTGGTTCTCCAGGAGCACCCTCATTGTGGCGCTCTCAACAAATCGTTTCATATGAGCGGAGAGTAGGAAATAAGTGATGAGAACCGGAGACAAATATTGCTTATAAATTTTTGCCCAACTGAACAAGTTTTGTTGTCATTCTTCAAAACTGTTGTACGATTTTTCAAAACGGATTATGTGTATGCATCGATATTTATTGAATGGGGTAAATAGTCGCGACAAACGCCCAGTGACCTAGTGGGAATTACGAAACCAGTTGTGGGCTGTCTGGTGATTTCGCCGACATTATCAATAGTTTCGAGTTTTGTCTGTAGTCCTTGTAGAGTTGATCTTTGGATAAAAAGAATACCTGTCCTACTTGTGTCTGTTAACCTCATTGGTTGTAGACGTAGCGTTCACACGATTCTTTGACTCCAGAGGTCATCGCAATGTTTGAACGTGTGGTAACCATGGTTTGATTTTGCTTTCATGTACGCTTAATGAACTACGCAGCGCAGTTGTCCTCATAGGCTAGCTGAGTCTTGTGTGGGCGAAAAGGAATCTCAATGTATACCTTTCTTTTAACTCCATTTTCAGTTAGGTGTTCTGTCGTTTTTTGTACAAATCCTTATTTCTTATACCCTCAAAGAAGATATTTGTTTTTGCAGCTTTCTACCCAACGTGAATTGTAGAGGAACTAGCACGGAAAAGCTGAGTAGGCTGGTTTTCCGTTTTTTCTTTGTTGCTGGGTAAAGCGGGCCAAGAGTAGCAAACCGCGTTCCTGTGTGACGAACCACAGTCATTGACTGTGGAAATTAAAGCAGCCGATTATTACATCAAATATTGGGTACATATGTGGCAGTTTTCACGATTCTCCCTGAAGCTACGTCAAATCGCCTTTTCTTGTGTTAAAAAGGTAACAACCTTCTTTGACCATCTTTGATTTTCACGGGAATCTGCAAAATTCCAACCCACGTGGAAGGCAGACCTTTGATCACCACTTTCAAAACGTTTTTACCAACCGTAATGCACTGTTCGTTCCAAAATCTGATTCAGACAACACTTCTTTGACCTCTGCGCTCATGTGTTTTGAACTTTGGTTGCTGCTGAATTCAGGCGTGAATTTATTTTTTCCAGTCCAATTACCATTTCGACGGCTGTTTCTATTCATGTATAGTGAATATCTGTGGGGCTGCACCAAAACAAGTTTGTTGTTCTCGCCTGACGGTTCGCTTTTGTCGTTCACTTATTTTGTGTTTTGAGCGGCTCTGATGAATAATTTACTGCTCACGTGACTGTCTCTCTGACTGCCATTATCCACTGAGTAGACAGAAACAGTCGACGAGACTATCGCGTACAGTACCGTTGAGTAAAACCGCCCAGTGAAATATGTATGCCTGTGAACGCCAAACTGATGATTTGTCTGAATGGATACACTAACGTAGCTTTGGACCTAATCCGTTCTATTGAAGATATGGCCGATAGTTTACGCGAGCAGTTGAATTTCCTACTAGCAAGGCTGCTCCGCTTCGGCAGATCACAGATATGCAAGTCTAAATTAAGAATATAAAAAACTTAGTCAACTCAGGCTTACTAAAAGTGTTGCATTGACGATAAAGATAATTTTGTTTTTAACTGGACCCAGAAACCTACCATTTTTATTGTGTTCCGTTTTGTTAAGGATCCGTCTGTCCCTTTACCTTCGAGTGGAGTGATATCTACCCACCAGTTTAAGTGCCCTTATCGTTTAGTTCTTTAACGTCTCCCTTGGCGGGAAATTTTTTATGGTCTGGATTAGAGCTCGGGTGTTCTGAAGAACTAGGTATGTGTTTCGACAAATGCAAATCAGTTTGGTTTTAAGGGGAGACTCTGGTGAATCTCTCGTTTATGTGCTTCAACTGAATGTGCTGCACGCAGGCCGCATCATGCTTGAGTTGGGCTCATAGATAGTTTGCCCATAGATCGCCCTTCTGCGTGAGGTCGAAAGCAGCAAAAAACGACTCTTCGAAATGCTCCCGGTATCTACAACCTAAACTCATGAGTAAGCCTAACTCACCAAGATGAACACTGCAAACTCAACGTAGGAATCTCTCTGGTTGAGTATCGAAGTCGCATTCGCAAAGTGCAGCTAAACAGCTGTGACAAACTGAAGCCATGAAGAAGGTTTTCTCGAAACGCGATTTAATCTTCCAGAAGTTCGGTGCGTACAGAATCCAAAATAATCATGTGTAGAAATTTTTTGGAAGTCCGTTTCCAACGGGATAGGGGAAGATGAAAACACGTTTCGCACACTCCGCTTGGCTGTCATATGGGCTCGTTTGCTAACTCCTACACGTCGATGTTTTCTGTAGCTAAGTACTTTTTGTGGAATCACTGAAGTCGTCATTCGACGAGCCGGTCAGTACGCGACTATGTGATGTAATTTTTGTGACTGAAGTATGAATAAGCCTACTTCCTGTCTAAATGAGGGCTACTCAGACCACTGCTCGGCTACTCATGGCGAAACAGTTAAGTTTCAACCACTGGCCGGAGGATCGCAGGTTCAAATCTCTGGGTTTCTTGAGACGTGTACTGTTATTCTTTCCCAACAATGCTTCTCGGTTTCTCAGCATAGATAGGCTTCACCGACAAAACGAAGGCACCATTGAAAATGAACCAGATAGTTCACACCTGCAGAGTGTTTTGCCTGCGCGAAATGTCCAAACGTGGGATGCGTTCTTTCAGCTGAATAGCGATACTAACCGCTAAATGGATTTCACTCAGTTTTATGGCACACGACGTCCTCAAATCGTCAGTTTCAATCAAAAGTGAGCTGTTCCTTGTGCTTCGATAAATTCTGGATAGAATGGAAGCCTCCACATCATTCGAATCCAAGTGTTTAATGATAAATTTCACAATCGGGCTCAGTTCAGTGGAGCGAGTTAAGCGGGACGGGAACAATTAAAACAAGGAGAGAGGTAGCTCACTTATGTTTGAACGGTCAACAAAATAAGCCTGATTTCTTAGCCGAATGCTTTTAACTTAAGTTTATGTATTTACTGTCCTCTTAAAAAGAACTCCTGTATGAGAAGATATCCTGTCTAGGGCAGAATCCCTCTAGCTGGCTCGTCTACCACCAACATCTGAGTGATGCACAGCAAATCTACGGACCCATATACAATATTCATTTAGCTGAGTTTTTCCACCCCCTTGTAATAGTGCATGTGGATACAGAAAACGGACGATTGTGGTATACAACATTCACTCCCTAGCACCAAGGGGCCTTGAGGGTAACACTCAGTGAACAGGTCTGTAACTACTGCACACTGTAGATGTGGACTTGGTTAGTTGCCTCAGTAACTAAATATTGACGGCGCTGAGACATCTGAGACGATGATAGACGACTGAAACGTCACAAAGTAAGGCTAGTTGATGCCCTTGTTGTTCGATCGCCTAATATGGTACCAGCTACAGCTAGTAAAACGGGTCAGTCAGTGTGCAACATCGCAACCAGGCCAACTAATTCAAACTTACTTGCTACTCATGAGTGAAACATGCAGCACGTGGAGAAAAGCTTTCGGACAAGGAGGAAATCCTCAAAGTAGCCGCATAATCTGACGGTGGCAGTAGTGTTCGGAAACAGGTTAAGGGGGATTCCACACATAATAATTCATACTAAGTGAGGAATACATTCAAGGCTATTTAAAGGCGGTCTCCCCGATGAAAGGTTAGTTTTCCCCTCACTCGGATGGTGACCTTGACAACTCAGTTAATTTTACTGATGGTGCTGCTCTTGAAGGTACATAGTGAAGCGATTGCCTATCCCTCTGCAAGGTGAATAACTGTTCAAGTGTTTTTTTGGGACAACAGGTCGTATGAGGTATGACGAGAAGTCAGGAAGAGAAAAACTGATCTTTCTGGTTCGCAGAGAAATGTAATACCATCAGTCTGTTGAAGGAAATACCTGCTTCAAAAGTCGAACGGACAAATCAGTGTCATGTCCAAGAAAAACAACCGCATAGAGCTAGAGACCTTATTTCGTAGTATGCTGCTTGGTCTTAATTGGGAATTCCATTGTTGATACTGACCATCATTGGTTTGACATGGACTGGGATTCTGTTTTCTCCCCTACGATGTCAAGATCGCCTTTCTGTTCTTTAGAAAGTAGATATTCAACATGACAAACCTAATGAAGTCAGTTTGTCCGTAAATGACTGAGTTCCGGAAACCGATTTCAGTGAAGTGATCTAAGACAGCGCCACTTCCTTAGAATACATCAGTGTACATGATTATATTTCAGAACCAAATCACTTTGTATGTTTTCATTTTTGGATTCCGTAATTTAAACCTTTTTGAACAGAAAAGGGCCAAAATCGAGTTTCTTTGGAAGTTTTGTGCTTTAGCTTTGACATAATTATCCTTGGAGGAGCAATCCAGTGGGCTATGCACCACGTGGGTCATCAAAATGAAATCGAGCGCCTTCGTTGCCTACGTCTCACGGCTTTTCTATGCCTTCCATAATGCACTAATACATGTTGCACCCAGAAGAATGATGAATGTTGAACGGATAAACGACTTGAGATATGCTCTGAACTAGAAAAGATGTCAGGAGGATACTTAGTCTGCCAAAACCAGGTTAACTGGATTATGACACACATACACAAGACACATGGGAACCACCAAGAATCTGTGCAGGAAAAAGCCTGCGCCCAATGGTAACCTAATGATTGGAACGCAAGATAAAATTTTCTTTTCGCATTATCTTGATAAAATAAAGCTCTGTAAACATTATGAGTCGCAGCACGAAGCCTCCAGATTGTCCCCTTCTGTCACTAGAACTTTTCCACGTTACTCGTACTTTGTGAGTAGCGAAAACACTGAGCACATCCCAAAGGTAGACCCACTAACGTCCAGTTCGACGCTACCAATGAATCAGTAGATAATATCAAGAACGACTGCCCGATGAGTCTGACAGACGAAAATATGTGTATAAAAGTGTAGGTGGAATGGATGCAAATTTCCAGTCTGAAAGCAGACTTGAGGGGATGTGTGTTAGAGTATGCGAACATGGGACAAAATAGTCTCGTATAACGGCCTTTCGGTCCCAGTATGGGCAGATTTGTCTCATCCCCTTCCTATGGGGGCATACTTTCAAAGGATTACCTTCAGGTTCTCAGGAAAGCTAACTCACATGGTGGTGATATCACGAAGGTGATTAGAACACTCCATTTTGACGCGTCAGCTTTGACTATCTGTGTTGATTACTGGTCCATACAACTCAGCCTCCAGCACTTGCGACTTAGGTACGTACCCTATGCAAAACACCCCTTAACTGACATTCAGCAATAATCCGACGTGTTGGTCAAACAAGGACGTCTTGATTATTTCTACATCTATCCTAGGACTCAGGCAAATTCAAAACCTACTAAATTGGCCAGATAAAACTTTTGTGCCAAAAGGGAAAATTTAAGCCTCTCCAAATCTGCCAGCTATTTACAAGATACCTTCGAAACGTAAAAATCATTATCTTATGTTTAGAAGCTTCCGTCATCTATATAAGGCTTGGGTCACAGTAACGATTCAGTGTGTACATCCATCCCAACAAGTGAAACGATGATGTCAATCGTATAACCTACAAATTTTCTTCATATGGACTATGGGTGTGAACAAAATGGCTTTGACGCGTAGCGCTTTCTGTAGACTCGATAAGATTGGAACGCTGACAGTCAATCGAGTACCTGCTGCTCAAATTTCTCCGTGATCAACTCCATAGATTGTAAAGTTTCAAAAATGTTTACCTATTGCCACGCTTGCGTTGAAAAGAAGAAAAATGAATTTAGTGAATTTCTTTTAAATTCACTTAGATACAATCCGTACACATGAAGTTGCAGGGATAGTTACATGTGAACTGAGCTTAATCATAAGACCTGCTCTCAGCACAGAAAATTCACTGGTTGAATGGGAAGTATGAAATAATACTGTTCATCTCAAGGGCTTCGCCGCTGGTGTGCCTCTACTGGATCTGTAGTTAATGTCTTTGAAAATAACTTTGTATCCATTCATTTTCAGATCGCATGCCAACGCTTCAAATATTCAAGCAGCAAAATCCATACGGTATTTGTTCCAATTGTGTTATTGGCAGCCGAAAATTGGCCGGAATTGGCCTGAAGAAGATTGTTTGAGTAGCTTTTTCGAGTCGCATGGACTTTGTACCTATCCTGTTAGCTACAACGTTGAAAGCAAGCATGCTTCAGAGTCGTGTATCATATTTGCCTCAGTTATTCGGTCGCATTTAGCTGATCGTCGCAATAAACCATTGTTGTTGACCACTCCGCGACACCCACATCAACTAAACTGAAAATGAAGTCATTCAAGCATCACGTTTTGAGTGGAAGATTCCGAGTGCATGTGTATGTCTAAGCAGTGTATCGGTTGGGTGTCCCGTTAACTGAACGAGCGTTACAAGTACGAAAAGGGGTCTTATGAGCACAAGAGAATTTTTTCTCTTGAAGAACACCTTAATTTCATACTTAA